CGGAAAGTGCTCCAGGCCGGGTGGGACCTTGCAGCAGCCCGGTGTGTGGAAGGTGTCCCTGCCCAGGGCAGCCTGCTGGGATGAGATGAGTGTTGAGGTCCGTTCCCCACCCAAAGCGCGCTGTGATAAGGCGCTAGGGGCAGCTATTGTTTATTCAGGGAGTATTTTACAGGTGGGATAGTGAGGAGCAGTTCCCCTCCCTCTGTCCCCGAGCCGAGCCGTGCTGTCAGCGGCTGCCGTACGTGTGGGCGAGCACGGGCGGTTCAGCTGGCCGTGCCGGCCGGGCATGCTTCCCTGCTGAATCACCGCCTGCTCCCCGAGAAAAACCCGGCCGGGCACGGCCAGCCGCTCACACCGCCACCGCCACCACCCAGCCACCCGCAGCGCTAAGAATGGCCGGGTAAGAGAGCTTAGAAAGGGGTCAGGAACTGCAGAATGTAACGTTCATGGTGCTGGAACACCTATTGTACCATCTGCCGTGGATCCCCATCCCTGGAAGTGTCCAAGGCCAGGCTGGAGAGAGCTTGGAGCAAGCTGGGGTAGTGGAAGGTGTCCCTGCCCAGGGCAGGGGCTGGATCAAAATGAGCTTTTAGGTCCTTCCATCCCAAACCGCTCTGGGCTTCCACAACTCGTGTTCTTGTTTTCTTTCTAAAGCCAGTCTTTCATTCCTCGCGCTCAGTGACTTTATGAAATTACACATACAGAAAACAAAGGCGGCTGGAAGGAAACTTCTTTTAAGGTGGCACAAGCTGCACAGCACAGCTGGGAAACACTGCACAGCTGCATTTATAGTGCACGTAGGATATGCCACTTTCCCAGCTAATTACAGAAACGGAGCTCCTGAGAATCTCAGATTTTTGGGGCTGGGAATGGCCTCAAAGCCCATCCAGTCCCACCCTCCACTATCCCAGGCTGCTCCAAGCCCTGTCCAACCCGGCCTTGGACTTCCAGGGATGGGGCAGCCACAGCTTGTCTGTGCCAGGGCCTCCCCACCCTCACAGGGGAGAATTTTATCCAGTCTAAACCTACTCTTTGTCAGTCTGAAGCCGTTCCCCTTGTCCTGTCCCTCCGTGTCCTTGTAAAACTCCAACGCAGTTGGAGAGAGAACGACTCAAGAGAGGCTGAGTAAAGGTGGCATCTGTATCTGCAGGAACTGAAAACAAATTATCATCTATAAATTAATTGAGCTCTCGAGTGTCTGAAGCATCAGACAGAGCCTCCCAGTCTGTCTGGACTGGAGCATTCCCAAGCAGGGTGACTGGGATGTGTCACATCCTCGTTCAGGGAGAAGGAGCTGCTCACACACACACTTGTATTTATGTGCCACCACCGGAACAGAAATTACCACTTTGGAATAGCTCCCTTCACGCATGAGCTATAAATAAGAGGCACATATGGCTGATCTGCACACTGGGGTGGGCACAGCTCCTGCTGCACTGGGCTGGGAGGATGGAACCAGGCAAAGACAGAGGCTGGAATAACCATCCTTCCCCAAACAAATATGTAATTAAAGGAAACAGCACACCAGACCCTCGACACCCACTTCTGAGGCCACCCCACACAAATATAGAAAGAAACTCTGACCACCGTGAAAGCATGATCTCATCTTTAAATACATGTTTAAATCTTAAGCAAGAGAAAGAAAGCTTTAATTATTTCTTTCAGATGGTAAAGGCCCCAGCTGAATACAGCAATTAACAACTCTGACTTGCAAATACAGGATAATCAGTATGCACACTCGGATTCGCTGATGAAAGAAACATCTGACTTAATGTTTGTGATAAAACAACAAAGCTCGCGGGCTCCAAGACGTTTTTTTCTAGGGACAGAACTCCTTTGCCACCTCAACTCTTGCACAATGAACATTCTTCACTTCTTAGAACACATCACAGAACAGGAAAGTTCCTGAAACACTTCCCAGTGTTTCACACAAGCCAACAAACAGCACCGTGCTGACAACAAACAAAGAGATCCCAGAACGGTTTGGGTGGCAAGGACCTTAAATCTCACCTCATCCCACCCTGGCCATGGGCAGGGACCTTCCGCTAACCCAGCCTGGCCTTGGACACTGCCAGGGATCCAGGGGCAGTGACAGCTTTTCTGGGAATTCCATCCCAGCCCCTCCTGCCCTCTGGCACTGGGAGCCATTCCCTGGCTCCTGTCCCTCCATCCCTTGTCCCCAGTCCCTCTCCAGCTCTCCTGGAGCCCCTCCAGGCCCTGCCAGGGGCTCTGAGCTCTCCCTGCAGCTTCTCCTCTCCAGGTGAGCACCCCCAGCTCTCCCAGCCCAGCTCCAGAGGGACTCCAGCCCTTGGAGCAGCTCCGGGGCTCCTCTGGGCTCTCTCCAGCAGCTCCAGGTCCCTCCTGTGCCGCGCCCCAGATCTGGGGGCAGCTCTGCAGGTGGGGTCTCACCTGAGTGGGGCAGAATTTCCCCTCCCCTGCTGCCCACGCTGGGGCTCAGCCCAGGGCACGGGGCTGGGGAGGTTCTGGGGGCCAGCTCGGGTCATGCCGAGCTCCCAAATTCTTCTCCTCAGGGCAGCTCCCTGGATTTGTGCTTTTCCACCCCAGTGCTTGATGGCAAAGCTAATCCCCTGCAAATCCCGAGCTCTACCCCTGCCAGGCAGCCAGGGCAGGTGAGCAGCCAGGGAAAGGAAAGGCCAACGATGCAGACATTTATTAGAAGGTAACAGCAGGGAAAAAGGAATCTCTGATGTGCTGGCTGTGACTGTGATGGGAAATGATGCCAGGCAGGTTTCAGGGCTGGGAAGGAAGAGGCAGGAGGGCAGCAGAGGTTTATTCACGGCTGTGCTCAGGAAGCCTTGGCTGGACTGACACCTACTGGGCTCCACATGCTGTGGTCGGTCCTCAAGACAAGGAAGGCAGAAATGTCACAGTTTAAACTTACCAAGATGAATTTTTCTATTCATTAAATTCATTTATTAGTGAATTTCTACTCATTAATTTCGTTCTGTTCATTCATTCTACCCATCTCCAGACCTTATCTGTTTATACAAGATAATGTTGTCAATGGAAGAAGGTGGTGCTAGTCTTTAAAGTAAAGATTTTCTTGCTGGTTACTGTCTATTGGGGATTTTTCAGTATATATGAATAATATTCACTGTCTATTGGGGATTTTTCAGTAAACCTCATATTTTTCTTTTTTGACAGTCCAAAGAAAAGTCCCAAAACTAGAGTGGTTCCAATTAATCAATGAAACCTTTTGAATTCAGATCCAACTTTTACATTTGCAGCTGGCATTAACCAAAGTCATTTCCTTGGTCTCAAATTCTCCCTCTTTTAATATCTTGTAATAGTAATTAAAAGTTTTGAAAGTACCAAGTCTGGTGAAAACAGCATTTATCATGTATTATACACGAGTATCACCACACCTCTGGTTATTTCACTATCAAATAATCTTATCCCAGGCAGTGATTTAGGACTGATGAATTTAGACAGCGAACACACAATTCCAAGGGGGGCCCTTTTCCTGGAAATTTGTCAGGAGTTAATCATTTCTGCAGAGGTATTTTAGTGCCCCAGGCAGAGGAATGGACCTCGACCCTTGGCCTGTGTGGGCAGAGAACACCTCTGTGCTTTCAGGATGGCAGCACTGCAGCTGCAGCTCGGTCACTCCTGAGAGCTCCTGACTACCTCATGGAACAAGAAATCATTCAGCACACAACTCCTTTCTATTTCTGTTCCATCAGTCACACTCAGCTCAGCAGTTTCTCCAGAGCTCAGCCTTCTAGGGAGAGTTTCCTTCTGCAGCTGGACCAGTCTGAGG